TGCGTGACCATGCTGAGAATTTCCATGTAATTGTGGAGGGAGCACCATAAGCTTTCCTTCTCTTCCGCTCCTTTCCCGTCGCGCTATTAATACCAGCAATATTCCCCGGAGGCACCGAGAGCTGGAGAAGCCTGACTGACCCACAAGGAGGCAGCGATGGTAGAAATAAGAAATGACATCCTCCTTGTCCTCTTTTCCTTTTGTCCTTCTTTGATTGGTTTCCGCAGTAGGGATATGGAAATAGGCGCAGCAGATGACACACTTCTGTATACATCTACTAAACCCTCGGACTAAGGAGGAACTTTTCTCGTCTGCTGCCTGATCTGAGGACAGGAAGTGGCTTTTTTTTTAATCTCCTGCTCTGTGTTGAATTTTGAAAGGCACCTTCAAAGGTTCCGGGACTGGAACTGACTGCTACAGTTCCAGAGTTGATCCCCTGCGTCGTCTGTCCTAGAAGGAACATTCCGACACAACACTGCTCCTTCAGGAAGTGCATCCGTCTTGTAAGGACAGAGAAGGACGTTCACAGGAAGCTCAGCATGAACCCCGCTCCCACAGCTAATCAGTCTTCGCTTCGGCCAAACAACTAGAGCAGTAGTGTCTCTGTGACTCACTGTGGTTCAGGGGCCACATACGGCCCGGATGAGATGGGAAGTGGGTCGGACCAGTACGATCAAAACATAATAACCTATAAATAACAATAAGTACGAGAACATTCGAAAACATTCATATTTCATGAATTTTTGAAAAGAAAGTTGACAAAACATGAGATGTTGAGTGTTTTTTTTCACTTTCAAAATTGACCAAGATGGGCCAGTTTTGGTCCACGGGCCATAGGTTTGATATCCCTGAACTAGAACATCGTGACGGCTCGGTTCTTTCTTAAATTACACTTTAAAGCACAAACACGAAATCCTTTTCTGTCGGATTTGGCTACAAATCATACCCAGCGCATGAGTTCACAAAACTCACTTGGAAATTTCCAGACATTCAGTTTCGGGGTCTTTTTGCTCCATCTGCTGAAACAAGGGAGAAGAAAATTCACAGGGACCGTGCGATAATCAGAACCAAGTCCCAGGGAGGAAGGTGTTGGAACTCCAGTCGGTGACCGGAGCCAAAAACAGCAAAGTGTCCACCCAGGCTCCTGATAATACACAGCAGGCCGCCGTGACATGGGGCTGAACAGCTGTGGAGGACGGGGCTGAGAAAGGTCATCGACTGAGGTCGTGTTCAGCTGCAGCAGAACGGTCCACCCAGGGCAGGAGGAACGAAGCTGAAGTGAAGTGTTCCCACGGTTTAGTCACAGCTTCTGTATCTACAACCACAAGTGAATGTAAACGGTTGAAGTTCGAAACCTAACATCTAAAAAATCCACTTGAGATGATGAGAGGTAGAAGGCGTTATATCGGCGTTTAAGCGAATATGATCCCGGTCCCTGTAGTACATATGCCTGACCTGTATGTGGTGCTGTGTCATCCCCAGTCCGCGTAAACCTTTGCTGCTCAACATGGAGCTGTAAAAAATTCAAAAATTAGCTTTAGTACATTAAGTAGCCCAGATAGCCTCTCAGAAGAAGCTTAGCAACCGTTGTTGTTGTTGTTGTTGTCGTCGTTGTTGTTGTTGTTGTTGTCGTTGTTGTTGTTGTTGTTGTTGTTGTTGTCGTTGTCGTTGTCGTTGTTGTTGTCGTTGGCATTGAGCAGAACTGTTGACCTGGAACTGTTGACCTGAGGGTAAGAGGTTACACAGAGCCGGGGCTCCGTTCACACGATCCGTAGTCGTATCGTAGCCAGCTAGCATCTGATCCGTTGTTGTTGTCAGTTTGTCTTTTTAATTATTTTGACTCAGAATTATATAAATAAAAAATCTCCCACTGTAGCCCATCCTGGCCCACGGCCCGGAACTGTTGACCTGGAACTGTTGTCCTGGAACTGTTGACCTGGAACTGTTGTCCTGGAACTGTTGACCTGGAACTGTTGTCCTGGAACTGTTGACCTGGAACTGTTGTCCTGGAACTGTTGACCTGGAACTGTTGTCCTGGAACTGTTGACCTGGAACTGTTGTCCTGGAACTGTTGACCTGGAACTGTTGTCCTGGAACTGTTGACCTGGAACTGTTGTCCTGGAACTGTTGACCTGGAACTGTTGTCCTGGAACTGTTGACCTGGAACTGTTGTCCTGGAACTGTTGACCTGGAACTGTTGTCCTGGAACTGTTGACCTGGAACTGTTGTCCTGGAACTGTTGACCTGGAACTGTTGTCCTGGAACTGTTGACCTGGAACTGTTGTCCTGGAACTGTTGACCTGGAACTGTTGTCCTGGAACTGTTGACCTGGAACTGTTGTCCTGGAACTGTTGACCTGGAACTGTTGTCCTGGAACTGTTGACCTGGAACTGTTGTCCTGGAACTGTTGACCTGGAACTGTTGTCCTGGAACTGTTGACCTGGAACTGTTGTCCTGGAACTGTTGACCTGGAACTGTTGTCCTGGAACTGTTGACCTGGAACTGTTGTCCTGGAACTGTTGACCTGGAACTGTTGTCCTGGAACTGTTGACCTGGAACTGTTGTCCTGGAACTGTTGACCTGGAACTGTTGACCTGACGTTAAGCAATGGTTTCTGCCCTTTTATTTTTTCAACTGTCCTGGGAGAATGTTTCTGGACAGAGGAGACAGTTTCAGTCCACGGGCCACCAGTTGATATTCAATGTTTTACATCTTTTTATTCTACAGAAAGATTTTCTTGGTTATTTGTCTTGTCTTGGGAAAACACTGACGAAGCTTGAGATAAAGTACTGGTGAACGACAGATCGTTTGGTCCACGTTTCTTTAATAACCAGTCCTGATTCACGTGATTCATTCAAGTTTGTTTCTGTTAATGAACACATTTCTTTAACTGGTGAACTTTTTTTTTTTTTTTTTACTTTTTTTTAGATTTTTTATATTTTACTCTCAAAGAACTTTTCTGGAGTCAGTGGCCAAAAAAATGCAACAAAATGTCTTTGTCTTCTACGAGGACCTGGGTTTGTTATGAATGCGTGATCAAAAACAGGAAAACGATACACACACTCATTGTACACACACACTCATTCCCCTGTGTTTGTTAGCAGACACCCCCCCCCCTTTCTTCTTGAACACTTCCCCATTACAGCCCCAAAACCCTTGACAGGTGTCAGCCTGACTCACCCACTCACCAAAGACACCCCCCCATCCCCCCACCGGAAATAATCTGTGTCGTCTTTTCCCTCCACCTTCGCTGGATTTCATCAAAAAATTTTGGACAAATTCAACCGGAGCTGCTGACTTTTATAGGGAAGGGTTTTATTTTGATTCAATATAAATCCTATCTCTGGGGTTGAGGAGCAGCACTTTGTTCACCGCCTCCCCCCCCCCACTCCCCCATACTTGAGAGCTTATGTCATGCGGAAAGTGTCTCCACTGAAGCAGCTCCAGGACACCGACAAGCCGTTCCCCATTTTCTGCATCCTCCCCTCTTCCTTCCCCCCGTACATTGTGGAATATTGTCGTTCAGCGTTCCTTAAATCGAGTGAGTGGAAAAGCCTTCAGGTTGTGAAGGGACTTGATCCCCCTTTTTCCAGACGTATTCTCAGAGGATTAAACAGTCGGGCCCTTAATCAAATCAAAATAAATAACCGCCCTGACAATGCAGGACGCCACAGTTTCCATTTCTATTTTGCGGGGGATTTGTCCCAGAGAGGGAACATCACAACGGAAGAGCCCCGTGGCTGAAGGGGGCAGTACAGAGCGGACGTTTGAGTCTGCCTGGCTGCTTGGATGTACATGTTGTTTTTGAAAGCACGGTGATTCTCTTTTATTTATTTATTTATTTTTTTGCGGTTGGTGTTGCAGTTGAGCCAAGCTTTAAGAGCCAAAGTGACGGGGTTTAAGTGTGCCTTAGGAAAGCTGCCGGCGTCCGTGCCAGGTGGCAGCCTGGGGCCGCTAAGACGGGGATTTACTCCAGATTAGATCTTTTTTTTGAGTGTTTCACAAAGTTGGTTTTTAAGATTCGTGATTGTTCCCTGGGCCCAAAAAAAAAACAAACAAACAAAAAAAAACCAGAGGCCGCGTACGACGTCCCCGCATCACGAGCTACAACCTGAGGTTCATTTCCTGCAGGTTTCTCCAGGCGGTGAATCACAATTTAGTCGAGCACTTTGAATTCCCCGTCTGCGGGTGCATTATTTTGCTGATGGATGAAGTCGTCGTATGTGTCACCGTTGCAGGTAGAAGGGTATCAGGTGACAAGCACATGATAAACACTCCATTTCGCTCAAATGAAATGATTCATGGCACCAATCTGCAACACCATGAGTATTTCACCGCCGCCGCAGCAATTGAGTGTCATTTTTGAGAGCGATCCGTCAAACGGGGACAGGGAGTGAAATGTTACAATGACAAAACGCCACTTTCTCACCTCTTAAAGGTCCACAGTGTGAGATTAATGTGAAGTTTTTCTTGTAAAAAAAAACGAACACCGACTACATTCCAGTGAAGTTTTTATTAGAGTACAATCATATGAAAGTCATAATTTGTTGAGGTTTTTTTTATTATTACTTTATGAAAGCAGTAATCAAAGTGAGGATGGGCGCCACCAGTGGAGCACAGAGAAATTACCCAAGGGGGCAACAGCAAGGAGGGCAACAAGGCAAATTATTTTGATTTAACAATATTTTTTATTTGTGTCACAGACGGAAAATTGCAGTTTCAAATAAAGTTCAGTGGAGTTTTAAAGAGGCTCAAAGGTAGTTGCTGTTACACTGGGGGGCGCTGCATAACAGGTTTAGGAACCGCGGCTGCAGGATAAGCTCTTTTATATCAGAAGTTGGTCGTTTTAATGGTACCTCGATTTTACCATAAGTTTATGAAAATGTGAGTTAAAACGCACCATATTACTTCACCACTAGATGTCACTAAATTGTAAACTAGCCACCATAATGTGTAAAATATTACTGGAGTCACTCATTCACGCACTGTTGCTCTTACAGGAAACTACCCCCGACCCACCAACTACAGCAGCAGCAGCTACAGTGGACCCGGGATGGCTAACAGTCTTGGAATGAATGCTAGCAGTCCAATGCACGGCCAGGGTCCCGGCCAGCCCCTGCCTGTTGGACGGAACCACGGACCAAGTGGCCAGAACAGAGCGTACCCAACCATGGCTCCCAGCTCTCCCAGCATACCTCAGCCAGCCGGACCAGGAATGGGTCCTCCTTCGTTGGGTAGTTCTAATCGCAAGGTTCAGGAGTCGGCAGCGGGAGCGGGAACGGCAGGAGGCGGGATTACAACGGCAGCGGGAACGGCAGGAGGCGGGATTACAGGACCTGTCAACTCCACACACAACAGGTGAGACGACGGCAGAGAAATCGTGTCTTATTCCAGCGGTCCAAGGATCGTTGACTTTCTACTTCTTCTTTTTTTAAGCAAATGAATAGTTTAGCGTTTTTACGACAAAGCAAAACCTTCAAATTGGTCCTGTAAAAACCGGTTCTAGGATTCCAGTCTGTTTATAACTGTTAGGCTAGGGTCACACAGACAGACATCTGTAGGTCTGTTAGCTGTCCTCTATCTTTGTACTAACATTCAGAGACAAACAAAACAGGTACAAAAGACAAAACTTCAAATCAGTTTTTCTCGCTGAATTATAGTCATTAAAAGTACCATTAGTACCAGTACAGTTATACGTCTAAAGATGGAACAGTTCCTTTAACTCAATTCTGACACTTCCTGTCAATGTCATCACCGTTGTTTCATATAGTTGTTGCTGAAACGTCCGACAAATGGATCGTGATACTTCATGACAAATCGATCCAGTAGCTCGGGATGTATTTAAGTTTCCCCGCTAAAAAAAGCAGGGTGCTAAAATTACAGAACAGCTTTTGGTTCTTAGATCACTCACTGTCCAGTCCAGCAGTTATCGTTACCGGTTGTCCTTCTTTTTCTTTTTGTAGAAGCTTCGTTCTCAGGGGTTTCACACTTCTGCGAGAATGATCTTTTCTTCCCACACATCAACCAAATGACATTCATCAAATGCCATTTGAAACGCCTGTGAAAAGAATGAAGTTGTTCAGTTGAGTATTAAATTGTAAGATAAAAATAAATGAAAGATTTGGGTTTTAACAACATAAACCCCACCGACTGAGGCCACACTGAGGTGCAGAAGTGAAGCGTTTAGAGATTGGTTGTTTTTTTTTCCGTTAGCGCTAAAGCGTTAAATGTGCGAGTCTGCGATCTGCGATGGAGTCTGAGGCCCATGTGGGACTGAGTGGGCCGTAAACTTCTGCTGAACTCTACCGGGGGAACTTGTGGAAACATGAGTGTCCACAGATGGAGGGGGTGGGGGGGGCGGGTTCTTATTGCAGTGCATCATGGGAACATTCTCATCAGCTTTCTACAGGCATGAGATCTTAAGAAAAGTATCTGAAGTAACTGAAACGAAAAAAAGAAACACCAGGTGTAGAATCTTCTAGACTCCTGGTGCTTCATGGGTAATTAACCCAGGAGTGATTTACGCGCTGTTTACACGACTGCGTCATGATTCGACATGATTCAGCATTTAAACGTAGCGTCTGAATACCACTTGTAGAACACCAGATTGTTTCCAGATTGTCGAATTATTAAACGTTTTTAGCTTTAGTTGTTTGTTTTTTGTTTTTTTTTGCGAAGCCACAGACCAAAACAACAGACAGTCCTTTGATGTGAACTAACCATACAGGAAGTCACTGCTCCTTCACTCACTCCCTGCACTGAGAACCGATCCTGACATGTCTTGGTTTTGTTTGTGCGGGGGCGGCGGCCTCGCTTGATGGCAATCTGAAGGCGGCCCCCGTATTTAAGGTCCCCCGCAGAGATGCAGCCCAATCACCTCACATCCACCCACTGGCCTGCACCCCACCCCGCCTCCACCCGTCCACCACCTTCACCTCCTCCTCCTCCTCCTCCCAGACCTCAGCACCCATCCATCCTGCCACCCTCACATTCACACCTCCGTAGGTAGGTCTGACACCCTCCCAGCATGTGCATGTGTCTCACACACACACACACACACACACACACACACACACACACACACATACATGTTTTTGTGTTTTATACACTCTGCGAGGAGACCTCTTCACAGAAGCTCTCTTTATGGAGATAAAAACAACTATTTTTGTCTGTTTATTGTTCTGTAAGGACCGTTGTTTTATGGAGAACATTATTCAGACACAACTTGCCACAAATTTGGGGTTTTAAGATGTTGTTTTTTTCCTCCTGATTTTGCCCAGTTTCAAGATATTTATCATTATTGTTTTGTTTTGTTTTTTGAACAACTTCCCACTCCTGTAATCACTCCACGTCCAGTCTGCAGCAGTTATTTTAATTATGTTTAATATTTTACTAACAACAGGAATATAACCTGACAGACGTTCGATCGCAACTCGTTTGTATCAGTGAGCGGTAAACGATAAATATATATTTTGAACTCCTTATGTTTATTGATAATCAATAATGTGATGTCTGGCCAAGACAAATATATATTTGAATATTTCTGCAGTAGTTGAACGTATACCTACAGCGTATACAAACGAATGCACGGTCCTGTGGCGCTGTATGTGGATGACGGCTTTGTTTACGTTCACACATTTGATGTCGTACATTAGACAGAGCTACATTGTTGTTGTTGTTGTTTTGGGAACTTTTTGCCCTTCATTCTGGCTCCCAGGCGTAAGTCAGACTCTTCTGATGCTTTTATGTCCTAGATGATGATGATGTCATCACTGTGTTAGCGCAGGTGAGTGACGTACATATTTATGGACAGTACGTGAGTTCAGACTTACGATGGAAAAAAAAAATCGAGTTCCGTCGTGGCGCCAATGGAAAAAAAAATCGAGTTCCGTCGTGGCGCAGGAACAGGACTTCGTGTATCAGGAAGATTTTTAGACTTTTTTTTTTTTCGCCCGCGTCATCACAAACATGTTCGACCTCCTCATCACTGAGATTGACATCAACGCCATCATCATCCCCGCAGTCATCAGTATCCTCTTTGTCGGGTGTTGAATAGAAACACACACACTTTAGATGTGTGTGTGTGTTGGGGGGTTGTTTATAGTGTGGTTGACAATACATGTGATTAATTACCGTGCATGGGGGTGGGGGGGGAGCAGCGCTGCACACACACACACACAGACACACACACACAGCCAGCTCTGTAAATAATGGCCAGACCATTAAACGCCGGCCCGGCTGTCAATAAGACGTGTCAGGACATGATCCCGGCTGCTGGGACCAATCAGGCTTCCTGTCAGTCGCTCCTCACGATCTCCCAGCCACGACGCGTGTCACTCACCGCGGAGCCTCGGGAGGAAAACACACACGGAACGAGTCTCTTTATCTCTATATTTGTCTCAAATCTTTATTTGTGTCTCTGTCTCTCCAACGATGCGCTTCAGATTTACCACAGACGGTGGATATACGGGCCGCTGCCTGAGTTTTGCAGTTTTATCTTCACTCTGGGAACGAGAGGCCGTGTTGTAAAAATCACATTTTATTATTATTTGAAGAAGAAAAAAAAAAACACAAAAATGGAGGATTTTTTTTTTTTGGTTTCCTCCTGCAGATCTGGTGGATGTTGATGTGCAAACGTCTGAATCTAATCTAATCTAATCTAATTTAATCTAATCTAATCTAATCTAATCTAATCTAATCTAATCTAATCTAATCTAATCTAATCTAATCTAATCTAATCTAATCTAATCTAATCTAATCTAATCTAATCTAATCTAATCTAATCTAATCTAATCTAATCTAATCTAATCTAATCTAATCTAATCTAATCTAAAGGGACAACATTTCTAGGAGTCAGTCCAGGGTGTCAAAACCTATGACCCACTTGGGCCCCCTGGAGGTGGCGAGTATGTATGAATATGACTTTCATTTAAGGCAGGCGTGCTAACCACATAATTACCCATCAATAACAACACAACAAGTCTGTGTTTTCCCCCTTTTGTTTTCCTTCATACTAAGTAGTACAGGTGTATTTGAAAAATATTCATATTTGATAAAATATAATTTCACAAAACATGTTTTTCAAAATTTATCAAGCAGGCCAGATTGAACCTCCCAGTGGGCCAGTTTTGGCCCACGGGCCATGTGTTTAACACCCCCACACTACACATTAGTGCAGACCTTTGGACGACCATACACATGTTAGACTGTGGTGGGCCGCATCAAATGACCTGACGGGGCCGGATTTGGGCCACAGGCCTCGAGTTTGACACACGTAATGTAAACAGATTGAAGTAAAAACCAGTTTGTTTTCTGATTTGGCTGAAATTTCTTTCGACTTTTTTTTTGTTTAATAACAATAACGAGAGGTTTTTATTCTTCCTGCTGGAATTTTCTTTTCTTTTTTTTTTTTTCTTGAACAACAACAGAGAGTATATGTTTTTACCACGGTGAACATTTGTGCAGAATACTCCAGCTTCTGTTGGCTCAGCCTGACTGTTATTCTTGTCTGCCGTCACTCATTTTCTCCCTTTCATCCCTCCCCATCTGCTCCTCTCCTCCCACCTGTTTCCCTCTTTTTTACCATCGCTCCCAACTGTATCGGCCTCTTTGTCTGTGTGCAGCTCTGTTATCTTTTCCAGACTGTTTTATCTTCCTCTGTCTTTCTTCCTCCCAATTTGCTTTTTGTTCTTGCCTGTCTCCAGCACAGCCTTGTTATGTTTTTCTTCCTCAGATCCCACTTTAGAACATCTGAGGGAGATCAGGAGAAAATTGGCATCAAAAAAAAGAAAGAAAAAAAAACCCTGCCTTTAACAGCTCCACAGCCGCGTCTCTGAGACAGTCAGGACCAGTTCCTCTCTGTCTGTGAAACAAGTTGTTGGTTGTAGCACATGGCTGTCAGCTCTGGCTACACTGCCACACACACACACACACACACACACACCCTCCAACCCTGCGGCCCGTAGTTCACCACCTCTGTTCTTTAACGCTTCACTCCGTCCAATAATCCCTTTAAATTTCCATCACTAATCCTCATCACTACATATCCATCCTCAACCCCCTCACACACACACACACCTGACACACACCTGACACACACTTCAGCTTCATTACCCTGGGTGAAAGAATGCTAAATGAACACAGGAGGGGGCTCTTCTGGTATCCCATAGCTACAGGCGAGGGTAGTGATTAAATCTCCATAAAGTCTGGCCTGAGTTTCTGTCCAACCAGATGATGGAAAACTGAGTCATACGTTGATCGCCTCTTCACTCTGATTGGTGGTTGACGGCAGCAGTGGTGACTTTTTTTTTTTTGGCAGTGTTTCTTTTAGCTACGGCACATATTTTACATTAGAAAAATCCC